CCTAACTGATATGATAATCAGGCCTGGAGGCTGCCTTTCGCAGGTACAACAGTCACACTGCAGCTTCAGAAAGGGAATAAAACTGTAGGAAATGAAAGCGATTAACAGTTGTTTGTATTACGGGGATTGTTTAGCCTATTTAATAACCCTATCAGAAAATGCATTATTTGTTGAGCCATTCTAAATGGAAATCAAAGAGGAACTTACTTAAAGTAACGTTGAAAATTCTTTGTCGCTATGACATTTAAATGTCAGTAAAAAGCTGTGCTTTGCCAATCAAAACAAAAACATTATCTTCCCCGTGACCTTGGGTGCTAGATTTCAGCCCAGTTAACAACGTCTACGTCTTTGAGCCAAAAGTATTGCAACAGGAACATTTCGGAAGCTGACAGGTGAATGTGCTGGCTTTAATTCTGTAGAGCACTAGCTCTGCCCTAAACTGTGACTACCAGCTTATTTTGGGGCTGACACTCAGACGGGTCATGTCTCTGAAGGTTGCAGGAACCAGCAGATGCTCCCAAGGAGTAGGTGTTATCTCCAATGCAGTGAGTTTCCAGAGGGATAGCAGGGGCAAAACTTATAAACGATGTGGTCAGTGGTGCTCAATCAGTTAATCACAGACTCACAGAATCACAGAATCACAGAATGTTAGGGACTGGAAGGGACCTCGAAAGATCATCTAGTCCAATCCCCCCGCCGGAGCAGGAACACCTAGACGATGTTAGGCATGAATGAATGATGAAGGCATCCAGGTGGGTTTTGAATGTCTCCAGAGAAGGAGACTCCACCACCTCCCTGGGCAGCCTGTTCCAGTGTTCTGTTACCCTTACTGAGAAGAAGTTTCTTCTCAAATTTAGGTGGAACCTCTTGTGTTCCAGTTTAAACCCATTACCCCTCGTCCTACCATTGGTTGTCACCGAGAAGTGCCTTGCTCCATCCATGAATGGCATTTCACAAGATGATGCCTCGTGATTCAAGAAGGTTGGACTGTGTGACCCCAAAAGTCTCTTCTGGCCTGATATCACCCTGATGCAAATTGGTTCTACTTTATTACGGACTTCAACCATGAACCTCTGCTACTGAAAGAAACAGCCATGTGGCTGTACTGTGATTTGTAGGAACAGAAGAAAAGAAAAAAGATGTTAAAAATACCAAGCAAAATCTAAAGTTGGAACAGAACTGTCTTTTATCTGTTTCAGTCAAAAATGAGTTCACTAGATACAGCAGTATTTCTTTGAATGGAACAAATAAACCTCAAAGATCTCATAATGAATACCCTTTCTACACATTTCTACAAAGCAGTCTATAAAAGTGGGAATGAGAAATGTCATTCTTAAACACATACCACAGGACACTTTTCTCACAACTCCAGTAACAAGGTATCATTTTCTATTCGATCGTATCTGGCTTTCCCATAAGGAACTGCAAAAACCACTCACAAGCCCTAGCACCAGCAAATGCAGTAGAAATCCTAACACTGACTCTGCTGGAGCAGAATCTCTCCCTTCAAAAAAAAGCCTTGGAAGGAAAAAAAATGGTGTGTTGTTTTTGTTGCTGAGCCAACTATTTAACTCCACCAGCTAGGAAAAACAAAGGGAAACCAAATAAAACTATAAAGCGCATGTTCCTATTGGCCAAATGTGCCAAAACCCTCTGAAATTTACAGCTCTACACCATCCCTATCTGTAAGTCACACAGAAAGCTGTGGCTGCAGAAACCAGTGATCATGCAAGTAAATTTTATTATGCTGTACAATACCAGTACAGTTAGACACACTAATCACGGGAGAAGGGGAGGTTGCTATTTTTTTCTTGTCCCATATGGAAATAATTTTGTATGATTGAACTGTTATGAGCTAAATAAAACTACACATTAACTGTAAGATACATTGCAAATACATTAAATCTTCCCTGGAGTTTTACAAATACTCACTTTTTCTATGATGCATTTGGAATTAGTAAAGGAATCTGTGCTGGGCCATAGGATTTATAAATAGATTTGGCTTCCTCTGCAATACTTTATGGGCAATTATTTCAGAAATGAAGATGCAGAGCCACAAATAAATAAAATAATTGCAGCTGATCAGGCTTTATTTACCGCTATCCCATTTCCCTGACTGTTAAAGCTTCCCTTCTCTCATTTGCTCCACTAGCCCGAATCAACGACCAGATGAAGAGCTGTCAGTTAATGTCAAACATTGGGCACAAAAGGTACCAAAGGCAGATTCTGCTTTCCCCATTTCCAAATCCTGCCTTGTCCTTTCTGGAGCTGGCTTGCTCCCTGGATAAATTCAGTGTGGAACTGCGAGGCTGGGAAAAGGCAGAGCAAGTCAGATGAGTTCTGCAGGTTCTTAAGGAGTCTGCCAGGGAGTACGTGTTGCTGTGGCTCCCCTGCAGAAGTCACTGCAAAAGGTCTGGAGATCTCCCCTTCTGCTAGAGGCTCGGGCAGGGAAGAGCTCGCAATCCTGTTCAAATAGGTATTAATCCAGTTTGGAAGATACCAAGTACAGCTACATATAGCAAAGCCAGCTTTCCAGGTAGTTCAGATGAATCAAATCCAGGTAAAGACTGGCTGCACGTCTACATATTACCTATACGTACTTCAGTTTTCAACCTCACATCACTCAGTTCTCAGTACTCCACATCCCAGGCAGGGTAGGAAACTCTGGATTCTCAGCCTTCCTTGAGATCAGGCTTGAAATCCTTAAATTAAACTATTTAGAATAGTCCTTAAATTAAACTATTTAGAAAAAAATAACCTTTATCTTACTAGTCCTGATGACTGGAGGTGCCTGGCCCTGATCTGTGAGATCTCTCTAACCTCCTGCCCTGGGAAGGCACATCCAGCTTTGTGAAGCATACACTGCAGAAAAGAGGGAGCACCAGAAAAAAGAACAACTTCATAGGCTGCTCAATTCTGTGTAAAGAAATGATGCTGCAAACTGCTCCCAGAACTTCATCAACAGCAGTCCATCAGCTAGTGAAAGAGGCCAGTGGGACTAGATGCCAAAGGAGCTAGGAAGATTTACACTAGCCAAGCATCTGGCTCCCTGTTCACTGTTATCAGAATGAAGACAAATGCTTGCAAACACCCTTACTCAAAATCACCAACATGTTCAGTGTTGCTCAGCACAAACACAGAAGCGTTGCTATTGTAAGGTGTGGTGCCTGGGAACAGCTGCTGAGCTCCCCCATGCTGCTGTTTCCAGTGGTATACGTAATGCAAAGCTCAGCGAGAAAATAGGGTGTTGCTGCCCTTCAAATCAAGCAAAGGGAATGATTAAGACATCATCTTTTTTGTTATTGTTCTAGTAGATGGTAGTAATTGCCTCTACATGGGAACGAGGCTATACCTCTACCATCATCCATCATCTTGCTGAGGCTGCATACAGTACAGTGGAAACAGTAAACTTCTGATTTGACCTCATTAGCATTGCCAGAATTACAATGTCATACCAATGATAAAGATTGCATCTGAGCAAATGGAGAAGAAACAAATCACTACGTAAAAAGCCAACAGCGTAACCACAATTCTGCCAAATACCTAAAGGCTGCTTGAACCTGCTTGGTTCCTGACATCACATGTGGGGCAAAACACAATTAAGAATTGTGCCTATATGCATCAAATTTGTAGATACAGGAGATGGACCCAGGCATTTAGAGAGCGGGCAGAGAGAGGAAAGCAAGATGTTGGAGTAGATGCTCTCTGACACCACCTCCCCTCTGACTTGGAATATTAGCCATGCTTCCTCTGACCTCTAACAGGCAATCAGTGATCCACCAGAAACATGGAGAAATCTGTGTGCCACTTGGGAAATAACACAGAGGCACCTGGCCTTCACACAAATGCCTCGTGCTGCCTGGATTTCCTTGTGATTCCCAGCACAAATGCACATAAGGAGGGTTCCTGCTCAAACTTGTGCTGAAGGAAAGTGGGACCAGTTATTTGGCCCTTCTGGCAGTCAAATCAAATCAAGTCAAATCTGTATTTGTCTGAGGTCAGACTATAGCAAAATCTACAGTGAAACAGGGAAATTCTCAGAATCCAGCCAGTAGCTTATCCTCCGTGCTGTGCTCCGCAACATAGCTGTAACACAATGCCAACACTTATTCCAAACAACTTGCTCTCGGGTACTCTACAGTCTTTTACGGACCACCTTAGAGGACATTAACTGAACTTCCCTACAGTGGGAACAAAATAAGGAAATTTATTATTCCAGTGGTACCCTTGACACAGATACTGAGTAGCTTCATTAAACATTTTGCAGTCCCAAGCGTCTTTACTAAAACCTCTACAATAAGCACAGAGTCATTTTCCTTATTACAGCACAAACACACAGGTCAGGATTCAGAACTCATTTACATCTGCTTTGTATCTGAATAACCTCCCTCATCTCAATGGGATCTGAACAGGCATAAATTGAGGCTGCATCATCCTAGTCCTTCCCTTTCTCTATAGATTAATTACCTTGCAGCACCACTCTCAGATAAACTCATTTTTACAGAGTCAGCATAGCCACAGCCAAGAGACTAATACAACCCTTTAATACAAACAATAATAAATCAACGGATTAAATTATAATTTATCACACAAATACTATTTAGCTCTTCTCAAAACTGTTCTGAACCATCTCTCTTGTCTGGCCATGTTCCAGAAGAGCAGTGACACTAGATAAAGCTCAGACCTGTGGAGTAAGTTTACCTAAGAAAGAAATGCTGAAAACATTCTTTATTTATGATGGGAGATCTCACAGAGATCAGAGTGAATAACATTCCTGAGAAGACTGTAATGTATTTGAAGCCTCCTCAGTATCTCTTCCAAAGACCAGTCTAGCAAGGCAAGGTTTCAACACACCCTGAAGCTGTACATTCAGCAGCAAGCCTAGAGAACCAGACACATTAACCTTGATAAATGCTACAGCAAACATTTAACGGCCTAGAGAACAGCAACGGGCTATTCCACCGTAATTTCACGTTACAACAGAGACTTTTGTTACTTACTTCATTGGTTTGAACAATGCTTGTCCATAGTTCTGGAACGTCATAATCAGCTTCAGCTGGGTACCTCCTGATTTCATCGCTATGGGTAAAAAACAAAACCACGTTAAAATGCTACACGTGGATTTACTTACATTCAGCTTTCCTGAAACAAAATCATGTATGTTTTGCTCTGTATTAGACTTAGCACTGCTGTATCTGAGCACCAAGCAGGGTAATCCTATCTGCGGACTGGAGGATGCAGCGGGTGCAGAATACAGGGGAGGGCTCTGAGCTGCCAACCAGGACTAAAAATGGAATGTACTCCCCCACATGGCTTTGTCTTCTTCAGCTGGACCCTATGGGCTCCACAAGCACACTGACTTAACTGCATGTGTGTGAACAGACCATTGGAGTCTTGTTGTCTCCATCTTCAATTACTTTTTTGTCCCTTTTCACAAGGGACATGCATTGGGAAAGTGATGGGTGCTTTGGAAGACAACTGCAGCTGATACGTACAGCCAGACATCCCATTAATTAAAAGTATGAGGAGATCCTATAGCAATCTCTGATCTCTGCTACGATTATAATAATTGCTGCTGAGCAGCAGAGATATGTAAATTCATCTCCTCAGTGCACAGTGGATATGTATCCAAGCCCATCCATTAACTTCTGAGGGATCCCAAGGTGGTTGGTACATGTGGCAGAGCTGTGCCGAGGAGGAGGCTGGCTCTGCTGGGAGGGCAGGAGAGGGCAGGTGGGGGTGGCAGGGACTGTGGTCCCTGCTGCATACCAAGGGCCATTGCCACTCAAGCATCAAACGTGCTCACCTCCCAGTTGAGAGCAGTTATTTGTGTCAGTCTGAATAATCTGGACAATATCATGTTAACAGCCAGACTATAGCATTTCTAAAGTCAAAGTGTTTTGCTTTGTTTTAAGAAGAATTCTTAAAAACACATTGTACTTGATGATAAGGCTATTTTACAAAGATAAATATATACTTTGACAAACCAGCTGGTTTCTCATCATCTCAATCAAAACTGCTCTGAATAAATGAAATTACCTATACTCCAACTCCTTAATTCACTTCTGTGTTCAGAGAGGCAGGCCATAGCGGTTGTGTCTGTGTGGATGAGTCAGTTCTTCAAAAAATGCTTCCTACGAATCAATCCTTTTCTTTACAGTTCTGACAAAATCCGTGTCAACTGAAGAACTACATAAATGTCAAGTTACCTTGCTCTGTAAATTTTGGCTTTGAGCTGCCCTCATTAGCTTTTATGTTTTCTTCTCTAACCAATGCCATTAGCTGCACATACTTTTAACTGCTCATCTCTGTGCCTTATTACTGATAGGTCATCAGCTCTCTTTCAGCACTTGTAATCTATATTTTTGCAACAAAATGCTATGCAGATCTGGTCAGCATAATTATACGTCTCCAAGAATAAAATCCCTCCCACCTTGCTGTTTTGCTGACCCCAGCCTTCCCTTGCATTTCCAATCAATCCCAAAGGAACAAATAAATAATTAGACATTAAAGGGCATTACATGGTTTGCACTGAACAGGTAAAGCAGAAGCACATGGCATTCACATATTAAAGTCCCTCTCCTGAGCAGAACAGGTCAGTCGATGTGCACCTGAGGGAAGAAAGAGCAGTAGCCCTTTTCATGATGATCCCAGAGCCCAAAGGCAATGAGAAACAGCAACTCTCCAGTACAAAAACCTACATGTGCTGCCCAAGGACCACCAGCTCTAGGAGCTTAGAGATTGTCTCCCTCTCCCACATGTATGTCCAAAATATACCAAACATCCTGTACATCCATCAGAGAAAAGGGAAGTATAGAGCCTTTTTGGAGGTAAAGCTGGGAAGCCAAGCATTTGGGAAATCACAGCAATGCAAAAAGAAGAAAAAACAATGTTCCAGCATGCTCTTTTCTAAGCACAAGGTTTCAGAAACACTGAGAAGACTGGTTTCTCAGTAAATTGAAGCCACTCAACAGATAATGATTTTGTTAGTAGCTGAACTCAACAACAACTGTGTCATCACCAAGCAGGAAAATGCATGAAGACAATTAACAACTCAGAATAATTCTTCCGTGAGACACAAAAGCCTGGTTTCCTGTCAGAAGGAATTGAGCTGAAGTAAGACAAAAGCATCTCGCTGGTCTTTTCAGATCCATCTTATTGTATTGCCTTAATAGGTTGCAATAGTAGCCTCAAACAAACACAAGTTTTGCTGGCATGTTTTCTCTCCACTGCTGCTAGAAGTAAACTTTGGACCTCTCCAAAACAGAGGGTGACACAGGTGGGAACAGTGTCCCATGGTGCCTGATGGCAGGGCATGCTGGAAGCCACACACATCACAGACAAGAACTTGTGCCAGAGCTCCACAATGGCTTCCCCCCACATCACCCAGATTGGGGTGCAAATATGCCCACTTTGGCAGCTCGTTCAGTGCTGCAGATGTGCTGGCCAGGCTGGAGGTGATTCAAAGTTACCCTCCCAGAACAGGCTACTTAAAGAGTCTAGCATTGTAAGCCACACAGAGAGGGAAACACCTGAACTTAAGATTGTCCTTTTGAACACAAGACTCTTCATGCACATCTAAACTAAAGAGACTTGGGACCAGGGTACCAAAATCTTGAGGGTGGCAATGCCAGAGAAGAACGGATCTCATTGGAGATGACCCACTCAGACCTCTAGACCAGATTACTTCCCATGTCCTAACTTAGTGTTACTTCTGTATACTGGCTTCCCTCTCATTTTCCGAGCTATATTCCTTCAGGAACTCCCTGTCCTGTTCAGACCCCAATTAAACATGTACCTCTGGCCATTATGGCGAAACAGTGGGAGCCCCATCACCTTCCAGGAGTTTATCCTAAATAAATATTGTTTGCTCATCTGCAGATGCCTTTGTGCCTTCACCTACTGCCCACAGGAACATTTATGAAGAATTTATAACACCCAGATGCAGCATATACAATTTTCCAAGAACCTGGAAGATGCTAGACCATAGCAATCTGTCACATCGACGACCAGCAGGTGTAGGTATTGTTAAAACCTTGCAACATGAGCCCCTACTGACTCCAAGGGAACCACTCTGAATTCACCTTTCTGTTTTTCAAGGTTTCTGAATATACTGTAACATCACAGCTCATGAACAGTTCTGTAAAAGACTTTATGAACCTGCTAGCTCCCAGCAGGCACCTCAAATCAAGTCACACACAGCTCCTGGATGTACTGGCACAGTGTTAAAAACAAATCCCAATACCATCGTTACTTTTTATCTTCAAGCAACTCAAAGCCTCTCTTTTCCCCCAAAAGTAGAAGGCAATGGAAAGCAGCATCAACCTCTCCAGTTAATCTAGTGCAAGAGCTTTCATGTGTGACCAAGAATCTTTCTAACCTTAGGAGGCTTTGCAAAGAATTCCCTGATATACCTCTTTGCTTGAGTGTCTGTGGGACTAGCGTCTTGCCCAAAGACTAGTGAAGTTGGTGGGATTCCTTCTATTTTTTCTGATAGACTTTGGATCAAGCCTTCAAATATCCCCACTCCATTTACATCTGTAGGCCTGTTGTCACAGCCACATGCCATGTCTGCTACTGTCCCCATTGTCCCCTCAGCAATGTAAGACCTGAATTCTCTTTCTGAACCACAGACATTATCTAATACAAAAGATGCACTATTGATCATCTCTCAGTCATCCTTTATAACTATATACTACAGGGTTTCCGCCTAGCATCTGGTACTAACTCCTAGTAGAGACACAATGTAAGCTAAAGGGATTTGACCCAAAAGGATTTGGAATTTGATTTGGTCCAGCTTTTCAGCTCCTATTTCACTGCACGACAGCCCTCATCCTACTGGCCTCTCTAGACTGAGTGGTTTTCTGATGGAGAGCCAGAGTCCCAACAGGACCTCTGAACCTGGCTTTTGGTCAGAATCCAATAAACATTTTGAAATGCATTCAATTAAGCAATGCTAACGCCTGAGACGCAAGATTCAGTCAAATACAGAGATGCACTTAGTATTTGAAGGAGAGGGCATCCAGATCCATTCTGGATTCCTATTTATGGATCAAACTTAGATCTAACATAAAGGTGTTGATTGGCTTTAACAAGTTAAACTCTGCCCCAGACTAGGGACATGGTCCTGTACAAACTGTAAAGAATGTATTTCAAAATAAATTCAAGTCCTCATCATGTCCTGATTTGTTCTTGTTCAGCCAACTCCGCTAACTTGTTTTTAAAGGCCTTTCTTGGCTTAGTCAAGAAAGTAAAAGACCTTTAGGGGGGAAGAGATCTGTGGAATCATTCAGAAGCTTTGTTGTACATTTTAAGTCCCCTCCTTTCATCCGGAACTGTACATTAAATCAATCTGTAGACCCTTGCCAGCTTCATTGTCTTCTAATACAGTAAATCAATGGTGCTACATTTCATTATTTTCTTCAGGCATTCTCAGCAGCACCTTCTCCCTTACTTTGGATGAGATTTTTATAATGTCTTTAGCATCAGAATATATGTTCAATATCAAGTGTCTTGTCTTTTTTTTTCCCCTGAATTGAAGCAGAGTCCACCTTAGTTAATTGTAGCATTTATTCACTGCCTAAGTAAGCTTGTGTGCTTGTTTTCTAATTACTGCCTGTACAAAACGAAGGCACTGCACCTTTAGAAATGAACTCCGTCAGGTAATGTTTCCAAACCTTTCCAAGCACAGAATTTACAGAATCAAAAAAAATAAAACTCAACTAAACACAGAAATTACAAAAGCCTATTCTGCTCACAGGCAATCCCACAGCACAGCTCCTCTGGACAGAGGTTACAGGCAAGATCAAGACCACACAGCTTCTACAATGCATCTTCCATATTTATTGTTAAATTGCTGACAGAGCTGCCACAATTACGTACAGACATCTTGTAAGTATGCAAGAAAATAGCTAACTATGGTTATTTATGCATGCAATAAACAGTTACGAAAGGCAAAAGAAATGTGCAATTGCCTGCGCATGTGCTTCTTCTGAAAACTGGGTTTCAGTGCTCAGTGGAAAAACAATTCTCCCTGGGCTCCTGTTTCTGGCAAGAGAAAATTTTCAGTGAATTAAATCAAATTAAGAACTATCCTTTTATGCTGAACAAAATGAATAGGAAATACATGTACTGATGCAGGGCACAGAATACATCCTCAGCTTGAAAGCTCTGGGTAACCCTGTCCTTCACAAGGCCAGCTCTAGGTGTCACTGTGGGAGCTGAATGGGATGCTCCTTCCATCCATTGATTTGTTCCATTTAAACTTTAACATCAAGAAAATGTCACCTTGGTGCTCCCTGCTCTTGGGAATTGTTTCTGTCACCGTTTTCATTTTAAAATAACACTGCACGTTACAGAGTCGTGTGAGCAGTTCTGATAGATGGCTGGGGATCAATCTAGTCACCACTCTCCTCCATAAATAATGCAAGCTAGGCAGAGAAATTACAATGTGGCTAAGAAAGCTGTTTAGCTGCAGTTTGGATCTAATTACTGTATGCATCAAGAACTCACACAGCACATCACCTAATTCTATTAGAGCCAAAGCAAATCTGAAAACAGGGAAGAAACTGGATAAAACAATATCCCATTTCACCTAATGCATGTAAGCCTGTATATTTAATTGTCCTGCTTGCAGAAAGAAGCCTGAAGACTGGGCATTATAAAGGTTCCTATTTGATTTATACTTGTAACCTGGCATCCTTGCAGTTGCCTTAAGAAAAGAAAACAAAAACTAGAAAAACAAAAATTGGCCATAAGGGGTGAAAAATACAACACCAAACCAGAAAAATTAGAAGATATACAGGAAGATGTAGAAGAAAGTAACAGCTCTATAAATGTTCATTGGTGAAATATATTACTCAGTATTAATCAGCTTACATTCTTTTGAATCCCTGCTGCTGTTCTGCAGTCAAACTGAAAACTGGCAGGTATTATTTTAAAACATAATGTTTTTAAAAACCAAAAGAATTTGCAACATAAGAGATGCTGCACTGTGTAATAAAAAATATATGTATTAACAATATGCTCTTTCTTTCCTGCTCTGCAACCTGACAAAGCTCCTGATTCCCCACAGAGGCAGACAGTCAATGCTACCAGCAAAATTCAGATCCTGGCATCTCTACAATGGCAAAAGTCCTCTTCCCTTTCCATAAGCTTGATTTTAGACTGAGATTTACGTGCAGGAATCACTTCCTGTCAGTTCCCACAGTGACCGATACCAATACCAAATCTACCTCATGTTTTAGGTGACGGAAATTACACTGAATCATCGATAGAAATCATAGCCCTGCGTTTTTGTTAGGGGCACAAAAGGCCCTACTGTGCTCTGAAGAGCCTTGTTCAAACATTAACAGAGAGACAATCCCATAGGAAATTGCTAATAACAATCGTAAATCTTCCTCTCTGGTCCCGTGGCCCTTTCCCCGCGTTGATCTGAAAGCTCTATCAAAACCATAATTAACAGAAACCTCACAATGCATCTATTAGACACATTAGGTGAAATCATGGCCCCAGGGAAGCGAATGGCAAAAATTCGACTTACATCACCAGGGTCAGGATTTCACTCCTATTTTTTATGATAATCATTCTGCTGCTAGGTTAACTGAAGCACAGAAAGGTTAAGCAACATGCCCAGAAGCACAAGTGAAGACTAAGCCCAGAAGATCAAGCGAAGAACACTAAACTACTATTTCTCAATCCTGCCTCCCTTTTTCTCCCAACAGCTTCTATGTCCTTACACCAATCTTAACCAACCCACAGACTTCATGGCTCAAAGGCTGCCGACTTTGCTGCAAACACTGCAACAATACGGCTGAGCTCTAAAGTGTTGGAAGAGGTAAATGGAGATCGACGCACTTAGCAGCCACGCAGTACAAAACACTGCTATGGCCAATGTGATTTGTGTAAACTCAGTAGATGAGACAGGAGATGGTCTGGTTGAGCATCATCTTTGCACAGAGTTGGGGACAGCCTGGTTCCTGCCTGGGACACTGCTGGCCATGTTCTTGTTACCCTCCCGGCCAGACCAGAGGAGTATGGGCAGAGACTGCAGCTACCTGCCGAGTCACATATGAGCTAGAGAAGAGAAAATACATGGCCTAATTGTCAAACCTGAGCTCCTTAATGAATCACGCTGATCCCAAGTTTTGGGGACAGCAAACCCATCACAGATTAGTAAACAAGCCTGTGTCTGTCATCTTTCATGAGCCTGGTGTTTGTCATCTTTCATGAGCCTGGTGTTTGTCATCTTTCATAAGCCTGGTGTCCACTGGATCTTTGAATCCAGTATGTGGGATAGGACCTGGGTACCACAAATGGCTTTACTCAAAACCCAGTCCTGGCAGAGCTTGGAGCTGAGCTCAGTACAGCCACTGGACAGCTCAACTCATGGAGGCAAAGCTCTCTTGTGATACCCTGCATTTTACCTAGTCCATCTGGATCAGGCAAATCAGCCCACTCTTGATGACCAAGGATCTCCTTTATTCCTGTTCTGCAGCCTCTGTGATTCACACAACGGAAACTGTAAACCTTAGGGCAGCTCATGCTATTCTTGCCCAGGCCATTT